TTCCTCTTTGCTTAGATTATTGCCAAATATATTTCACAATCGCATAATCACAATAAGCCAACAAACTATGAGTTATTACACATAAGTTGACAATCTTAAAAATTTGCAAAAGGGTGCTAGTCATTTGGCAACTATGCCTAGATAATTTCCTCAATCTTGAGGAATAGGTGATGCAGCCAAGACGAAACTGTAAATTAGTTCAAGAATTTAAGAGTTCTAAAAAGTAATACTATTTCTAATCAAGTTCCACAATTTGCACCCTCAAAAGTATGAAATAAAAGCAGGATTGAGAGCAAAGTCCAGTTTGAGTTCACTATAAAAGCGTATACGTTCAATTTGACCTATAGCAACACTATGTTTTCTTGGTCCCATAAGATGGTCATGTGAACATAATTTAAGGCTCAGAATCTCTTTATTTTATATGATAGTAAAGAGGTTTTCATTCTCCCCAAATTTAGACGACGATTTCTTATTAAAAACTAATGGGGGTTGATCAAGATTGGAGGCTTTTGTTAATTTGAACGCAGTATGCAGCAGAAAATCTCAGCCAAACTGATTATTGTTTCTAAGATTGCTGCTATACACTGAATCATGCCAACCTAAAAATTTACATATCTTACAAGAAAGTCTACAAAATGCACTTGTTGTTTGAATCTTAGCGTTAACCTTTATTCCAATAATCACAGTTGTACAAATATTTTGTATAATCTCATTCCTCCCAAGCTGTCTTGAATACCGAATTCTCAGTTTAGTTGAAACTTCATCCATAATGCAATTAAAATGAGATACGAAATGTAGTAGTTGATTGCGCAGAAAACCTTCCGAAAACTTGAATTCATGCTCACACCTAATCCACATTGACTCTCGTGTCGTGGAGAAGATGCGCTAAAAGAGACGAATTGTGTGTCATTTCCAAACTTTTTGCTTTTTCGTCACGCTATGCGCTCAGCAATGGCCATATAACTTACATGCTTTAGTGAAAATGTAACCCTTTAGTTTTCAAGACAACTTTATTAAAGCGGTATTCTATATAAACATAATGCATTCGCATATGTATGTCAAAGTTCATAACCTATGCCTTTTTAAAGATGATGTGATTTCAGAAGGAAATAAGAAGGCAACTTAAGGCTACGTAATTTTGAGTTTTGCGAAGGTTGTATGAAGATTTTGTACTTAGAAACGAAAGCTTTCTTGGACAACTAAAAAATAACTTATACTTTAGTTCTGGCTTAATAAACATTTCTCCAAGTTTGGCTTCTT